TCATCATCATCATCATCATCATCATCATCATCATCATCATCATCATCATCATCATCATCATCATCATCATCATCAATCAGCATCATCATCATCATCATCATCATCATCATCATCATCATCATCATCATCATCATCATCATCCCCCTCCTCCCCCTCCTCCCCCTCCTCCCCCTCCTCGCCCTCCCTCTCCTCCTCCTCCTCCTCCTCCTCCTCCTCCTCCTCCTCTTCCTCCTCCTCCTGGCGGCGGTGGCATGGTGGCGCGATGCAGCGAGAAGGCGCAAAACAGCATGCAGCGCGGCAGACACAGCGAGTACGACGGCAACGGCGACGACCATCTCGCGAACCTGTGATCTGACAGGCTGCGTTGTCCTTTGTGTGCTTCCCCCTCTCCGTTGCACACGCCCACCAGGTCTGTGAACCAGCCCCTCTCGAGGTGTGTGTGTGTGTTCTTTTCATATCAGCTCCTGGGAGAAGCATTCAGCAGTGCAGTCTGTGTGCGCACCGCGCCGACATGACCGCGCCCGCGGGCAACTCACCAGCGTGAGTGAAGTGCGAGGAAGTCTGGGTACAGAACACCGTCCCAGAGTTTGGGGGGCTCCTGAGCATTCCAGAGTACACTGTGAGGAAGTCCCGAGCGGGAGCCAATGTCGTCTAAGCTGGGTTTTCACCAAATTTAATGAATCGCGTGGAAAGCTCAAGCGAGAGCGCCGCTCCTGAGTGCGATAATGCATATGATCAGGACGTCTCGGAGAAAGTTGTGAGGACGTTTCGGGCTGGAGCCATTGTCGTGTCGCTGCTGGGCCTCCAGCAACTTCGTCCAATTGCGAGGAAGGCTCGGGCGTGAGCGCCGCTCCTGAGCTTGGGGGCTCTCCTTATCTGGCCGGGGCGCCTCGAGGAAGCACCGAATAGGAGCCGTTGTCGCCGCAAGTGGGCCTCCAACAACTTGACTGAATTGCGAGGAAGGCTCGTGCGAGAGCGCCGTTCCTGAGTACTCGGCCCTCTCCGGCCAGGGCCTCTCGGAGTAAACTGTAAGCAAGTGCCGAGCGGGGGCCGTTGTCGTCGCAGCTGGGCCTCCAGCAATTTGGCCAAATCGCGAGGAAGGCTCAAGCGAAAGCGCCATTCCTGAGCTTGGGGCCCTCTCTGGCCAGGGCCTCTCGGAGTAAGCCGTGAGGCATTATCGAGCGGGGGCCGTTGTCGTCGCAGCTGGGCCTCCAAAAACTCGGCCAAATCGCGAGGAAGGCTCAAGCGAAAGCGCCATTCCTGAGCTTGGGGCCCTCTCTGGCCAGCTCTCGAGTAAATCGTGAGGCATTATCGAGCGGGGGCCGTTGTCGTCGCGCTGGGCCTCCAGCAAAAAAAAAAAAAAACTTTTTGGGGCCCCCCAAATCGCGAGGAAGGCTCAAGCGAAAGCGCCATTCCTGAGCTTGGGGTCCTCTCTGGCCAGGGCCTCTCGGAGTAAGCCGTGAGGCATTATCGAGCGGGGGCCGTTGTCGTCGCAGCTGGGCCTCCAGCAACTTGGCCAAAACGCGAGGAAGGCTCAAGCGAAAGCGCCATTCCTGAGCTTGGGGCCCTCTCTGGCCAGGGCCTCTCGGAGTAAGTCGTGAGGCATTATCGAGCGGGGGCCGTTGTCGTCGCAGCTGGGCCTCCAGCAGCCAAATCGCGAGGAAGGCTCAAGCGAAAGCGCCATTCCTGAGCTTGGGGCCCTCTCTGGCCAGGGCCTCTCGGAGTAAGTCGTGAGGCATTATCGAGCGGGGGCCGTTGTCGTCGCAGCTGGGCCTCCAGCAGCCAAATCGCGAGGAAGGCTCAAGCGAAAGCGCCATTCCTGAGCTTGGGGCCCTCTCTGGCCAGGGCCTCTCGGAGTAAGTCGTGAGGCATTATCGAGCGGGGGCCGTTGTCGTCGCAGCTGGGCCTCCAGCAGCCAAATCGCGAGGAAGGCTCAAGCGAAAGCGCCATTCCTGAGCTTGGGGCCCTCTCTGGCCAGGGCCTCTCGGAGTAAGTCGTGAGGCATTATCGAGCGGGGGCCGTTGTCGTCGCGCTGGGCCTCCAGCAACTTGGCCAAATCGCGAGAAGGTTCCAAGCGCAAGCGCCATTCCTGAGCTTGTGGCCCTCTCGGCCAGGGGCTCTCGGAGTAAATTGTAGCAATTGTCCGAGCGGGGGCCGTTGTCGTCGCAGCTGGGCCTCCAGCAACCTTCGAACTTGGCCAAATCGAGAGGAAGGCTCAGGCGAAAGCGCCATTCCTTAGCTTTGGGCCCCTCCTCCCTGGCCTCTCGCAGTAAGCCGTGAGGAATTATCGAGCGGGGGCCGTTGTCGTCGCAGCTGGGCCTCCAAAAACTCGGCCAAATCGCGAGGAAGGCTCAAGCGAAAGCGCCATTCCTGAGCTGCGGGCCCTCTATGGCCAGGGCCTCTCGGAGTAAGTCGTGAGGCATTATCGAGCGGGGGCCGTTGTCGTCGCAGCTGGGCCTCCAGCAGCCAAATCGCGAGGAAGGCTCAAGCGAAAGCGCCATTCCTGAGCTTGGGGTCCTCTCTGGCCAGGGCCTCTCGGAGTAAGTCGTGAGGAATTATCGAGCGGGGGCCGTTGTCGTCGCAGCTGGGCCTCCAGCAACTTGGCCAAATTGCGAGGAAGGCTCAAGCGAAAGCGCCATTCCTGAGCTTGGGGCCCTCTCTGGCCAGGGCCTCTCGGAGTAAATCGTGAGGAATTATCGAGCCGGGGCCGTTGTCGTCGCAGTTGGGCCTCCAGCAACTTGGCCAAATCGCGAGGAAGGCTCAAGCGAAAGCGCCATTCCTGAGCTTGGGGCTCTCTCTGGCCAGGGCCTCTCGGAGTAAGTCGTGAGGAATTATCGGGCGGGGGCCGTTGTCGTCGCAGTGGGGCCTCCAGCAACTTGGCCAAATCGCGAGGAAGGCTCAAGCGAAAGCGTCATTCCTGAGCTTGGGGCCCTCTCTGGCCAGGGCCTCTCGGAGTAAGTCGTGAGCATTATCGAGCGGGGGCCGCTGTCGTCGCAGCTGGGCCTCCAGCAACTTGGCCAAATCGCGAGGAAGGCTCCAGCGAAAGCGCCATTCCTGAGCTTGGGGCCCTCTCTGGCCAGGGCCTCTCGGAGTAAGTCGTGAGGCATTATCGAGCGGGGGCCGTTGTCGTCGCAGCTGGGCCTCCAGCAACTTGGCCAAATCGCGAGGAAGGCTCAAGCGAAAGCGCCATTCCTGAGCTTGGGGCCCTCTCTGGCCAGGGCCTCTCGGAGTAAGTCGTGAGGAATATCGAGCGGGGGCCGTTGTCGTCGCAGCTGGGCCTCCAGCAACTTGACCAAATCGCGAGGAAGGCTCAAGCAGAAGCGCCATTCCTGAGCTTGGGGCCCTCTCTGGCCAGGGCCTCTCGGAGTAAGTGAGGAATTATCGAGCGGGGGCCGTTGTCGTCGCAGCTGGGCCTCCAGCAACTTGGCCAAATCGCGAGGAAGGCTCAAGCGAAAGCGCCATTCCTGAGCTTGGGGCCCTCTCTGGCCAGGGCCTCTCGGAGTAAGTCGTAAGGAATTTTCGGGCGGGGGCCGTTGTCGTCGCAGCTGGGCCTCCAGCAACTTGGCCAAATCGCGAGGAAGGCTCAAGCGAAAGCGCCATTCCTGAGCTTGGGGCTCTCTCTGGCCAGGGCCTCTCGGAGTAAACCGTGAGGAATTATCGGGCGGGGGCCGTTGTCGTCGCAGTGGGGCCTCCAGCAACTTGGCCAAATCGCGAGGAAGGCTCAAGCGAAAGCACCATTCCTGAGCTTGGGGCCCTCTCTGGCCAGGGCCTCTCGGAGTAAATCGTGAGGAATTATCGGGCGGGGGCCGTTGTCGTCGCAGTGGGGCCTCCAGCAACTTGGCCAAATCGCGAGGAAGGCTCAAGCGAAAGCGCGATTCCTGAGCTTGGGGCCCTCTCTGGCCAGGGCCTCTCGGAGTAAACCGTGAGGAATTATCGAGCGGGGGCCGTTGTCGTCGCAGTGAGGCCTCCAGCAACTTGGCCAAATCACGAGGAAGGCTCAAGCGAAAGCGCCATTCCTGAGCTTGGGGCCCTCTCTGGCCAGGGCCTCTCGGAGTAAACCGTCAGGAATTATCGAGCGGGGGCCGTTGTCGTCGCAGGTGGGGCCTCCAACACCACACCTGGGTCTCAAAGTCCTCGAGCCCGCGCTCGAGCGGGAGCCTCTTTTTCAGAGAAAGTGCAGACAACGCCAGAGCGAGAGCGCGCGGAACCAGTTCCAGATCAACAGCAATGATTCTCGAGGCCCAGGAAAGAAAATTTGCAGGGAGCCCAGGAGAACCCCCCAGCGGCCCCAAGACCGCCAGATGGCCCGAATACCCTCCAAAACGTCCCCTCAAGAAGGCACCGATGAGGCCCAAAGACTGCCCCACGAAGGCCAAAAAACTGGCCGAAGTGTTCGACCACCCACGACCATACCCCAAACATTCTCTAATTGTGAGGCTAGCTTTCTAGTTTCCACTGGCAGCCAGGTTTGGTTCCAGCCCTGCGGCGTCGCAATCGCTGACGCCAAAAATCATCCACCTCGTCAACATTACATTCATGCAACCGCTGCATGCGTCGCCACCGCAATCGTCGCGCATAGCGCCCCTATGATGCTAACCTGCTTGCCAAGCGGCGCGCCTTCTTGGATATGTCGGTGTAGCAGGCATTCGGTGTGTCGTCCTTGCAGTAAGCGGCGAGGCACTTCGAGATGCCCACGCACGAGCAATTGAACTCGCCGACGATCCACTTCTCGTCCTGCCAGGAGCATGCAAGACGAAAAACGGCAAGAAAGAGCGAGGGTAAGGAGGATGAGTACCTACCAAGAGGGTGCTTTTATGCTTCGCTATAGCGGCCGTTACCCCGGCCGCCCCCCTGCCGACCCCAGAAAACGTCACGATTCGTGCTGACCACCTCGGAGTTGGCTTTGGCTACTCCTAGACATTCCCGTACGGCGCTGGCGCGACACATAACGTTACCAGCCCACATATAGAAATATATATATACATATATATATATATATATACATAAACATATATATATATATATATATATATATCAGCTCGGGGTCCCGCAAGCGGGGACTCCAATCAACCGGGGCGCTGGCGCCTCCGAGAAGACTGCAGCCGCAGGTCGAAGCATGCTCCGTTCGTCGATCTCTCCGGCTGGGTCTGGCGAGGTCCCTGGTCTGCAAACTCCGCCGGGGCCCTCCCCCGGAGTTCCCCCGGTGGCTGCGGCGGCGATTGGCCAGAGGCGTCTCGAGTCATCCTGGTGCTGCATGGCATGTTCCTAGGGGATGTACGATGTTTGACCCTGGCCCTCTGCTAGCAAACTTCCAGACCATTTGAGACTACTGAACGATTGCCCTTCCCATCGCATTCGGGGAATAGTTCAGGGCACTGGCACTCAAGCAGAACAAGGGCAAATCGTCCCTACAACTGAAGACTCGACGCTTCGGCTCGGCTGGAGGTCCTAGTCATAGCATCTCGCCCGGTTTCCATGCTTCGGCCAAGTATTCGAAGCAACGCACGTGCTCGTCCCACGGGCTGCTCAGCAGATCGTCTGTCCCAGTCCAGAGGAGCGGACGCGCGCACAGAGGAGGGAGGCTCTCGACACGACATTGACATTTGCGTTCTTCTAGCCCCCACGAGTCGAGCCCGAGGCAAGATTTGCCACGAGGGAACGGGCCCTGGTGGCAGCGGGTCCTGGACCCCAGGGCGTTCCCGAGTCCAGCTTTTCAGCTGGAGTCGTTGCCTGGAGGGCACGGAGAGGGCCCTGGGAACCCGAAAACGGCAACGAGCATCAGGACCTCTCCTCCATCCAGCTTCTACATGGACAACTCCCCCACGTCTGACTGCCAAGCGTGTCGAATGAGGCGGGCTGGGCGTTTCCAATGGTCTGAGGTCTCCAACAGATTGAGGTTTCCAATCGTTACACAAATGTAGGGAGGGTTCCAATAGTTTGAGGTTTCCCATATTTCAAGGCTTCTAATAGCTACACACACGTAGCGAGGGATATGTTCAACGTGGGACTCTCGCCGTGGCGGCGGCGCAGTCGCTGCAGGCTTACATCACGGACCGTCTTCAGAGCGTGGCTCTGGCAGTTGCACCGCGCACACTCGCGGCTTCCACGAATTGCTGCATGGACGAAGGGGGGGCGTTTCCAAAATGTAGCTCTTGCCTTGACACCGCACAAACTTGTTTTCAAGCTCTTGCTTTGACGTCGCACAACACGGATGGAAGGGACCGTTCACAAAAAGTGGCTCTCGCTCTAGCACCACGTGCTTTGGCCTGAGAAGCTTCCGACCGTTACACGAATGGAAGGCGGTTCATGATCAAAATGTGGCTTCCACTTTTGCGCCGCGCACGTTCGTGTCAAGAACGTCCAACCGTCCTGGACGGTTCCTTCCCGAAATGTGGCCGTCGCCGCAACACCGCGAACAATCGCCTCAAAAGCTTCGAGAATTACACGGATGGAGTGCGGCTCCGTATCAAAATTAAACTTTCGTTTGAGACGTTATGGTATTGCGATTCCAGCCTGACGTTCAAGACTTTTGTTTGAGACTGGAATGCGCAAGCGTTACACGGATGGAGGGCGGCTCAGTTTCGAATCGGGTTTATCGCTTGAGACCTTCTTAGGTCTCAACCTTTTATGGCCAGACGACTGCACTCTAAAATGGAAGATACACGGGTTCAGGGCGACACGCTTCCAAAGCGGGACCCTCGTTGAACAGTTTCTTGGACTTGATGATCCTACATCTGGGCCTCTTGTGGGCTTCTTGGGGTCTATTTGGAGCCTCTTGGGGGCCTCTTGGGGCCTCCTGGGCGCCTCTTGGGGCCGCCTGGGGGGCCTATTGGGGCGGAAGGCTCGGATGCTCGGTTCGTGCTCCCTCTCTTGGGCCCCTTTGGGGGGCGCCTGGGGGGCCAAGAGCCGCCTTGTGGCGCTCTTAGGCCATCGTGAGACCATCTTGGAGGCCTCTTGAGCAGTTCCTTGAACTTCATGATCCTACTTCGTCGCCGTCCTTATAACTAAAAGCATGCATGGCGGCTCCTTCTCAAAACGGGGCCCTGTTCTGCAGCAGCCTCAGCCTCAGCCTCAGCCTGCCTCAGCATCAGCCTCCCTCAGCCTGCCTCAGCCTTAGCCTGCCTCTGCCTCAGCCTCAGCCTGCTTCAGCCTCGGCCTCAGCCTGCCTGCAGCCTCGGCCTCAGCCTCAGCCTGCCTCAGCCTGAGCCTGCCTCAGCCTCAGCCTCAGCCTCAGCCTGCCTCAGCCTCAGCCTGCCTCAGCCTCAGCCTGCCTCAGCCTCAGCCTCAGCCTGCTTCAGCCTCAGCCTCAGTCTGCCTTCAGCCTCGGCCTCAGCCTCAGCCTGCCTCAGCCTCAGCCTGCATCAGCCTCAGCCTCAGCCTCAGCCTGCCTCAGCATCAGCCTGCCTCAGCCTCAGCCTCAGCCTGCCTCAGCCTCAGCCTCAGCCTGCTTCAGCCTCAGCCTCAGTCTGCCTTCAGCCTCGGCCTCAGCCTCAGCCTGCCTCAGCCTCAGCCTGCATCAGCCTCAGCCTCAGCCTCAGCCTGCCTCAGCATCAGCCTGCCTCAGCCTCAGCCTCAGCCTGCCTCTGCCTCAGCCTCAGCCTGCTTCAGCCTCAGCCTCAGTCTGCCTTCAGCCTCGGCCTCAGCCTCAGCCTGCCTCAGCCTCAGCCTGCATCAGCCTCAGCCTCAGCCTCAGCCTGCCTCAGCATCAGCCTGCCTCAGCCTCAGCCTCAGCCTGCCTCTGCCTCAGCCTCAGCCTGCTTCAGCCTCAGCCTCAATCTGCCCGCAGCCTCGGCATCAGCCTCAGCCTGCCTCAGCCTGAGCCTGCCTCAGCCTCAGCCTCAGCCTCAGCCTGCCTCAGCCTCAGCCTGCCTCAGCCTCAGCCTGCCTCAGCCTCAGCCTCAGCCTGCTTCAGCCTCAACATCAGTCTGCCTTCAGCCTCGGCCTCAGCCTCAGCCTGCCTCAGCCTCACCCTGCATCAGCCTCAGCCTCAGCCTCAGCCTGCCTCAGCCTCAGCCTCAGCCTGCCTCAGCCTCATCCTGCCTCAGCCTCAGCCTCAGCCTGCTTCAGCCTCAGCCTCAGTCTGCCTTCAGCCTCGGCCTCAGCCTCAGCCTGCCTCAGCCTCAGCCTGCATCAGCCTCAGCCTCAGCCTGCCTCAGCCTCAGCCTCAGCCTGCTTCAGCCTCAGCCTCAGTCTGCCTTCAGCCTCGGCGTCAGCCTCAGCCTGCCTCAGCCTCAGCCTGCATCAGCCTCAGCCTCAGCCTCAGCCTGCCTCAGCATCAGCCTGCCTCAGCCTCAGCCTCAGCCTGCTTCAGCCTCAGCCTCAGTCTGCCTTCAGCCTCGGCCTCAGCCTCAGCCTGCCTCAGCCTCAGCCTGCATCAGCCTCAGCCTCAGCCTCAGCCTGCCTCAGCATCAGCCTGCTTCAGCCTCAGCCTCAGCCTTCCTCAGCCTCAGCCTCAGTCTGCTTCAGCCTCAGCCTCAGTCTGCCTTCAGCCTCGGCCTCAGCCTCAGCCTGCCTCAGCCTCAGCCTGCCTCGGCCGCAGCATCAGCCTGCCTCAGCATTCAAAATGTGGCCCAGGAATGGAGTTCTGGGAACTAGAAGAACACGAAGTGGCCTACAGTTGGCTCTGGGCATTCAAAATCATGCCCAGGAATGGAGTTCTGGGAACTCGAAGACCACGAAGTGGCCTACAGTTGGCTCCGGGCATTCAAAATGTGGCCCGGGAATGGAGTTCTGGGAACTCGAAGACCACGAAGTCGCCTACAGATGGCTCCGGGCATTCAAAATCATGCCCAGGAATGGAGTTCTGGGAACTCGAAGAACACGAAGTGGCCTACAGTTGGCTCTGGGCATTCAAAATCATGCCCAGGAATGGAGTTCTGGGAACTCGAAGACCACGAAGTGCGTTACTGTTGGCTAAAAAAAGAGTCCCCGATTCCCGCGGCAGTCCCTGGATTCCCGCGGCACCCGTCCGGCATCTGCCCAGACCCCCCTGGGGAGTCATGATGCTCTCTTTTGAGACCACTAGAAACCTATCAGCCTTCGCTGTTAGGTAAATACATATAGTTTCACGGATTGAGGGCGACTGGTTTTCAAAATGTGGCTCTCCCCGTAGCGCCGCGCACATTTCAAAATGGCAGGAGATTCACGGATTGAGGGCGGCTCCTTTTCAAAATGTGGCTCTCGCCGTAGCGCCGCGCACATTTGTTTTAAAAGATACCAGTGGTTCACGGATTCAGGGCTGATCTTTTTCAAAATGTGGCTCTCGCCTTAGCGCCGCGCACATTTGTTGTACAAAGTGCAAGAATTCCACGGATGCCCATTATCAACGTACCAGAGAAGTGGAGGGAGGAGAGAGGAGGGGAGGGGAGGGAGGGAGACGCTCCGCGGCGGAGGAAGGGAAGGAGGGAGAGAGGGAGGGAGGGAGGGAGGGGAGGAGGGAGGCAGGGAGGGAGGGGGGGATGGAAGGGGAAAGCGGGGAGAGAAGGGAGGGGAGGGGAGGGGAGGGGAAGGGAGGGAAGGGGACTATGGAGCCCTGGAGAGAGGAGAGTGTGCAGGGAGGAGGGGGGCCCGCGCCCCAGTTCAGCAAGGCCGCCCGCCTTGGCGGGCGTGCCCACGGGGGAGGAATTGATGAAGTCGGAGGTCCACCACAGCGGGATCGGCTCAGACTGCGGGGCCGGGGCACTCGTGGCGACTCGACTGCATCGCTCGTCCTCCCGCTCCGCCCCCCTCGTGGTGGTCCTCGAACTCCGCCTGCTCCTCTTCCTCCTGCTACCCCCCACTCCTCCAGCTCGCCTTCCTCCCCTCCTGCTTCTCATCCTTTCCTTGCGGTTCCTCGCCCTCCGCCTCCTCCTCCTCCTCCTCCTCCTCCTCCTCCTCGTGCTGCTCCTGCTCCTCCTCCTGCTCCTCCTCCTCATCCTCCTCATCCTCCATCCTCCTCCTCCTCCTCCTCCTCCTCCTCCTCCTCCTCCTCCTCCTCCTCGTCCTCCTCCTCCACCTCCACCTGGTCCTCGTCCTCGTCCTCGTCTTCCTCCTCCTCCTCCGCCTCCTCCTCCTCCTCCTCCTTCTCCTCCTTCTGCTCTCCTCCTCCTCCTCCTCCTCCTCCTCCTCCTCCTCCTCCTCCTCCTCCTCCTCCTCCTCTTATTGTTACTAGTACTAACAATAATATGAGTAGCATTGCTATTACTAATATTCTTAGTATGATGAATAATAGTATTAATCATATCCTTAGGATTAGTATTATTCATATTACTAGTACTACTACTGGTATCATTAATAGTGGTGTTCGTGCTGTTCGTAGTATTAGTAATAGTGTTATTCGTAGTATTAACATTATTCGCATTACTAACAACATTGTTAGTATGCTGAGTATTCCCGTTATAGTGTTCATAATTCTTTCGTAATGGTAGTAATGGTATTATTGATATAACTATTATGATTGTGCATAGTACGCATGCTAATATTGTTAGTACTCTTAGTGTTGATAGTAGTACTAGTAGCCGTGATATGCGTTGTGATAGTATCGTTCGTAGTAGTAGTAGTAGTAGTAGTAGTAGTAGTAGTAGTAGTAGTAGTAGTAGTAGTAGTAGTAGAAGTAGTAGTAGTAGTAGTAGTAGTCATATCAGGATTCGTAGTCTTACTATTATTAGTAATCTTATTCGCTTGACCATTAGTATTGTTATTAGTAGTACTGGTTAGCGGTCGTCTTATTATTCTGAATGTTATCATTGGTATGATTACTCTGATATTAATAGTCGTATGAGTAGTCTTATTCTGCGTGTGAATAGTATGTTTCGTATTAGTCTTCTTTTTGTTATTAGTATTACTCGTCTTCGTATTATGTTCAACAGTATTAGTATTGGTATGTTGATGCGTCTTATTCTTATGAAAAAAAAAATATAATTCGTCTTATTGTTGGTATTAGTATTCCTACTCCTCCTCCTCCTCCTCCTCCTCCTCCTCCTCCACATCATCCTCATCCTACTCCTCCTCCTGCTCCTCCTCCTCCTCCTCGTCCTCCTCCTCCGCCTCCTCCGCCTTCTCCGCTTCCTCCGCCTCCTCCCCCCCCCTCCTCCTCCTCCTCCGCCTCCGCCTCCTCCGCCTCCTCCGCTTCCTCCGTCTCCTCTGCTTCCCCGCTGCTTCCCCGCTGCCTCCTCTTCCTC